GCTTGTTTGTTTATTAGACATAATGCATGAGCACAGTGTCAAACACAATGAATTAAAATGTGAAAAAACATTAATGGAGTTTCACTTTCTGTATTGACCCATGTCACAACTCACAAGAGACCAAAAGAATCTATAAATCACTTCTCTTTTTTGGTTTAGTGGTGGTGGTGTCGCAAAAAACAAAAAAAGTTAAATCCGCCTATGGAATAACATAGAATCGTTCCAACAATATAGAGTTGTGTAGGCAAATAATTGTCGACAATTGACTTGTGACGATAATGAGACCCAAGAGTGCAAACCTTGTGCTACGTACACTAATGGAGTCTTTCGTCCAAATAATTTCTCATTAGTTGGGTATAAGACATTATTATGACTGTAGAGTCTGAAAAGAGATAATTATAATTTTTACGCATAGAAAAAATTGTTCACAACTCGAGAGCTCGTGATGCATAAGAGAACAACCTATCCTTCCATTAAGGCCGACACTCTATTTGTCCCCTTTTAAATTCAAATGTGTATTTTACATTTTGAAAAGTCCAAGATAGATCGAATTTATTGACGTGGACAGATCTTCACTATAAAAAATTAATTGGAAGATCTTCCAAATAATTAGAGAAACACCAAACCCACAGAGCAAAATACTAGATTTTGTGTCCACCCCATAATATTTGATATCACCAAGTCTTTAATCACCATTTTCAAATTTTGGCAAAAAAAATCAAGCTATTTAGATGACCCCAAAATTATATTATATGCGTTAATTAAACCACTGAACTTATTTTTGTGTCAATTTAACCTCTCAATTATGCAATATGATTGAATGTGGTCCTTCCATCTCAATTCATTGTTAATTTTACTAGAAAGCGTCGTGTGCACATCACGTGAGTCAGGGATTAAGATAGTTAAAATTATACACATGATGTGCACGCAAGATGGTTAGTCAAAATTAATTGCAAATTTGGACATAAGAGTCACATTGAGTTAATTATCCAAAGAATCAAAATTTTCAGTTATTAATGGAATTCTTTGTCGGCTCTATGAAATACTCATTTGACCGAGGGCTTCCAAACACATCATAAGTTAAATCGGTCAAAATCATTATTTTTTCCTTTTCTTCAGTAGAATCCCTAGTCCCAAATGCTTACATGGGGACGAAAAAAGGAAAGAGGGAGATAGGGTTTCTCTTGCTTTTGGCATAGCGGGCCTTTAGTAGGAGACTCGCACAATGGGCTATTAGCTCAGTGGTAGAGCGCCACCCCCTGATGATCTCTCCAGACAAGCACAAGCTTATCACTAAATGTCTCTTTTATTATAAAGATCATTCGGTCGCAAAGCTTATCTAAAGGATATTTTTTATGTGCATTCACGTCTTTTGAAAAGCGTCGCTAAATCAAGTTCTCGTTTAAGTGAAGGAAGTATGACCGCTTTACCAATAATTGAAACTCAATTGAAAGATGTTTCAGCTTATATTTCTACTAATGTAATTTCCATTACTAATAGACAAATATTCTTATCCGTCGATCTATTCAATGCTGGAATTAGATCCACTATTAAGGTGGGTATTTCAATTTCCAGAATGGGGTCTGCAACTCAAATTAAAACCATGAAACAACTAGCTGACACATTAAAAATTAGTAACTTAACTGGAACAAACAATATAGTTTAAGGGTCATCTACGTAGTTACCTCAAAGAAAATAATAGAGATCAACACTAACAAAAAGTGTAAAATTCCAATAAAACAAAAGATTTAGGAGTGTTTGGATTAAATGTTGGGATTGACCGAATTGGACAAGTTCACCCATCTCATACCCATTCAACAAGAGAAGAAGACAAATCTAAAATTAATGTCCCCTCATTCTTTATTTGATTTAAGTATTAGAAAGTAGTCAATTCACACTTACCCCATAACACTTTGTTTGTATTAAATTATGATATAACCATTAAAATTATCAATGAACTTCCAAAATTATGTAATCCTCGGATTTTTCAGGAATTCAAATATCCTTTAATTCAATAATACTCCAATCAAATTCTTTTAACCAACCAAGTAGGTGGGATTAAATTTAGAAGATGTGGGAATATTAACACTTGTGTTTGCAAAATTTGAAATAAATGGAATAAGGTCTGCTAAGAATTATTTAATTCAATCCTCCTTAAAAGTCCTGTAATGAAAGGCTTTTTTGGTCATTTGAACATTACAGTTGAGAGAGAGAGAGAGAGAGACTGTTGGAAGAGAGAGACGGAGAGATACTGTTGGTATATTCTTCTCGTATCTGGGAACAATAGTTGGTTATATCTAATTGGTTGAGGCAAATGAAAAGCACCCGAAAACCTCCCTAGTCCCAACGTTATTATAGTAGAGAGAAGACAGAGAAAGTACGGAGTGTGAGAGAGGTGTCTTACTGCAACTCTGCCATGTTTGCAAGCTCTGACAATGGCTTGATGGTTGGGATTTGGGGAGGGACTTGGCCTCTCTGAATCCTCAAAACCTTCCCCTTTCTCACTGATGATCACTGACTGTTGATAGGAAAATTGGCAAAGAAACTCTCGAAAGTGAAAGAAAGTGCACGAAAGAAGAAGAAAAACAGGAAGGACCCGCCCAGCGTTTGTCACCAATTTATGTTCTGGGTTTGATTCATTTCATTGGGTATATGTAGTCCCATTGAGAAGATAAAATGATGTTGATCAGCTGCAAATGGTAAAGTTCTTCACTTTGCAACTCATGATTTTCCAATTTAATGTTTTTACCTTATGTTTTTGTATGTATTTCATGGATATATTGTGTAGTTAATGAAGGTGGTTTGTTTATTTGGTGAATCTCTTCTTACAATTATAACAACTTTTTCCAATTCAACTCTATTTGGGTTTTAACTGTTTGACTGTATTCATGCATGGTTGTGTACAATCATTTGTAGGAAGATATGGGTTCTGGACTAGGTCTGTGGATGAATAAGTCATTCAATAGGATTTTGAATCCTTTTGGGCACATATAAGGCATCAACTTAAGTAGGATTTTTGAATCCTTCAATAGAATGTTTTATGGTAGAGCATGGTTCTGGGTCTTTATCTCACCAAAGAAATGTTAACCATAGTTATAGAATGTACTCAAATTAAAATGTTTAACTAGTGGCTGCTGGACTAAGTTGACTTGCAAAAGGCAGGAAAAAAAAGAGGAAAGAAAGATAAAAAGAAGAAGAGGAGATCATGTTGTAAGATCTTTTGACGCTTTAAGCATATAATTCGGGCTTTTTATGGATTCATCTGTATGGAAGCAATGCGGTAGGAATGACAAGAGTAGCTCCCATTGTTTTTCTTATTTTGCTGTTGCTGTTATCGACTTTTCTAGAACCCATTCAGGAGATGCTATTCTTTTCACACACAGGAGAAATATAATGTTAGAAAAGCATAATCAGTTTACCTACGTGTTTCTAATCCACCTTCTTTATTCTCTTTTCATCTGCTCGGATACCCGCTTTCGTGTTTTTGTTTAAAATCTTCTTGAGAAGGTTAGGAGCAGTAGAGTAATGAAAGCTGACCATTGATCCTCTGTTTCATTTTCTCTTCATGTTGAAAAGTGTCGGCCAATTTTCTGCAGGTTGGGTTGTTACAAGTCCCATGGATATTTTGAACTGGCAATGGCAGCTGTTTTGACTTTTGGGAAGCAGAGAGGTTGCTGAGATAGCAAGTTCTGTGGGTCAAGTGGCAAGATATATTTGTCTGATTTCCTGTTGCAATTTGGTGGCTTTAATATACTGGTTCCAATCTGAGGTTCTTGGTCAGTAGATTGCTCTCTTTAAGCATGGAAATAGACCTACTTTTGATTGAACTCTTTATCGAAGGAATATATTTTTCCTTTTTAATTATGTAATCTGTTTATTCCAGGCAATTTTCTTTCCTTTGGACGTGGACATACCTGGCTGTAGCTGTACCTTTGGCTTCACTAGGGCAAATCTCCTTTGGCAATATAAGTTTAGTTTCTGGAAGGAAAATTTCTTTCAGACCTAATAGCAATATAGATATCTATCAATATTTGAAGATTCAGCTCTGTTGGGCAAATCTCCTTTGGCAAATTTCTTGAAGTGAGTTTCTGCAGTTGGACAAAGCCATTTGGTGGTTACACTAACGGAGGATTCATCTTCTGTTGAAAAACCATCATCTTTTCAATCCGACTGGAACTCCACTCAGTTTCTACCTTGGCAGCCTTGCAGTTCAAGGTGTCAGTTGTCGTAATTTCCATTTCTGCTGTTGGATAATTCTCATTTGGGGGTTCCTTCTAGCCGAAACATCAGTCCATTTGTTGGGCAAATCTCCTTTGGCAGTTGGGAGTCTCGAGTAGACTCCCTTTTATCTCTTGTGAGCAAATCTTCTCTGGCATGAGATCTTCATTTTTTGAAGATACTATCTCAATCGGTATTCCAAGATCAGATTGACCTGGAAAATACCATTCATTCAAGAAATCATTCGGACTGGTGCAGCTGGATTTTAAAAAACTTCTCAGCGCGTGTAAATCTGATGGTAACTCTCTATCCTTTATCATTAATGTTCTTTTCTGGCATCTTTTTTTATTAAGTATTACCTTAGGAAAATCCGAAATAGCTCAAGACTGCTTGAATAATGCCTAATTGTGGTAAATCATCATGTTTAGCTGTACCATTTCATTCAATCTATCATTTTTGTAAAAGTATTTGATATCGATTTTTATAATGATACATCTGGCCTCTAAATTCATGCTCACGCATATGTCATTTTCTCTTAAGCTACTCCTTTCAAGGAAATATTTTTTGCTCTTTTTTGACATCTGGGGGAGAACATTAAGGTTTTCCATGAGTAATACTAGACAAAAAAAATCAGATTCCAATCTCTTATTTTGACAACAGGGAGAAATGATGCTAAGTTGAGTTCCTCCTCTAGAGCTGCAATAATTTGTTTTCTCTTTTTAATATTTATTTTTTACTATCGATATTGGCTGAATTGCAGATATAGCTTGATAGGCATCTGAATGATGGATTTGCTCCTTAGTGACATTGATAGTTTCAGTGAGAGCAGTAGCTCTGAAGATCAAGATGACATTGAAATCATGTATGGTGGACAGGCTCATTGTATCCTGTCAAGTCTTGAGGAAACCATCGGAAAAATTGACGACTTTCTCTCATTCGAGAGGGGTTTTATTCCTGGAGACATTGTGTGCTCAGTCAAAGACCCATCAGGAGAGATGGGAAGAGTGATCAATGTTGACATGACTGTGGACTTGGAAAATGTTTGTGGAAATAAAATAGAAGATGTCAATTCCAAAAATCTTAGAAAAATACGTTCATTTTCAGTGGGAGATGATGTAGTCCATGGGCCATGGCTTGGAAAAGTTGATAAAATAGTTGATCGTCTCACCATCCTCTTTGATGATGGTACGAAGTGTGAGTTCACAACAATGGGTCCTGAGAAGCTTGTACCTATTTCTCCAGACTTACTTGAAGATTCACTACACCCTTACTATCCTGGACAAAGAGTGAAGGTTGAACTCTCAAATGTTCCCAAATCAGCTAGATGGTTATGTGGCAAGAGGAAGGAAAAAAGTGATGAAGGAACAGTCTGTACTGTGGACGCAGGATCTGTGTATGTTAATTGGCTTGGCTGTGCACTGGTTGGTGGTGAGAGAATGCCTGCTCCGTCATGTTTGCAGGATTCTAAAAACTTGACCCTGTTGCAATCTTTCTCTCATGCAAATTGGCAACTTGGTGATTGGTGTATCCTTCCAACTGCTGACCATAACAGTATTATGGAGCAGATCTTATTTGGGGCATCTAGTTGTGGGCTTATTAAAGGGCATAGTGAATCAGAAAATAAATTTCAGAGGAGCAGCCTCAGTCCAAATTTTCAAGAACTCTGTGTTATCATGAAGACAAAGACCAAAGTTGACGTTCTTTGGCAGGATGGTCGGCAATTGTTGGGATTAGATCCTCAATCTCTGATTCCCATAAATATTGTTGATGCTCATGATTTTTGGCCTGAACAGTTTGTGCTGGAAAAGGGAAGTTGTGATGATCCGCATGTCCCTAGCATCCAGAGATGTGGTGTTGTGAAATGTGTAGATGCAAAAGAACGAACGGTGAAGGTAAAATGGAAAAAATTTGCAGCTAGTCTAGTGACTGACTGTGAAGGAGAGCAGATGGAAGAGATTGTGAGTGCTTATGAACTGACTGAGCACCCAGACTACTCATATACCCTGGGTGAAGTGGTATTTAGGCTGGAAAAGGGGCCCTTTGTTGATCTAGCTGATGGAAACGCCAAGGAGGACCCAGTGACCAGTAAGACGGGTATGGTTAAGTGCGATCTTGAAGGCAAATGCTATGATAATGATCAGAATCAATACCCCAACAACAGTTACTTGTCTCGTATTGGGATGGTGGTGGGCTTTAAGAATGGGGATGTCGAAGTGAAATGGGCTTCTGGTCTTACTACCAAGGTACAAATGTTATCTATTATTTTATTCGTAGTTATTTTTTATTTTCTCGTTGACTATCCTGTGATACATCCTGATTGACTGGAGCTTTGTCATGAGTTTTCTCTGGTAGAATAATGTATGGTCGACATTATTTGTACATTAGAAGTTTCCTGCAAAAAATTGGACCATTTTCATGCAGAAAGGGTATAAAAACAGGTGATATCACTGATTACTGAAGAGGAAATATATACTGCAAAGATAGTTTTCATAAAAAAATTCTAGTGGTCATATGTTGGCCAATTATTTGAAAGAAACTTTTGCTGAATTTTCTTTGGGTTCCACCCAAACAGAATTTGAACGGAAGGATTTCTGGCTTGTGTCATTGATTAGTTTTTCCAAAGAGAATCATGACCAAAGACAGCCTACCGACTAAGTCTACCCCATCTCACCATGTATCAAAGAAAACCATGTACTATATCTACCGACGATCCTGGTAAAATTGGTTTAGCATCTTGATTTTTTTTTAACAGAGTAATTGGGATGACGGTAGGAGTTAGTGACTCAAGTGGAAGGTTCATTTGCAATGAAACATCATGTTCTCAATGTAGATGTAATTAGTAATAAAGGATCTTTTAGTACAATGCAAATGCTGCTTTTGAAGTTTATTTCACGAACATCTGTTTTCGTTGATCACTGAAAAATTGTGAATGTAGATCTTAATAACTGGGGTTTAAGCATTTTCTTAACATTTTAAACTCACGACAGGTTGCACCTTATGGGATCACTGGGGCAGATAAATATGAAGGTCTACATGGTGCTCCTGTTCTTCAAGATGTAAGTGTTGAGGAACTCAATGAAGAGATGACCGAGCATCACAACCAATCTTTAGGACTGGAAGGAAAGGTCACTCTCTCTCTCTCTCTCTTGCACGCGCACGCTTGTCCATATAGACACTTAGGAACCACCCTTAGTTTAATCAGAAAATGCTGCTGTGTTAAAATATTTGAGAATTCTGTTGTATTGATTAGCTTCTGCAAGAGCCTGGTTTGTCAGAAAAGAGCCCAACACAGAATTACATGCCTGGTCAAAGGGGATATTTATCCGAAATTTGGGATAAATGTAGTGTTCTTCAATAAGGAGTTCTGCAAAATTGGGGTGATTAAATTTAAAGCATCCCCTACCTACATGATTATGTACAGTAAGAAATTTGGTGCATTCCCCAGCGTGAACTTTCCATGTGATTCAAGAATCTTTCACCTAGAGAATGAACATGCAATTTGTAAATTTCAGTTCAGTTATTGGGAAGTTGTTGGGGGAGAACATAATATTGCTAATATTAAGACAGCCACTTCAGCCCCATACTAGTATGAGCTTCCAGTTATTCTTTTCTTATTCTATGTCATCTAGGTAAGCTATTAGAGCATGGTGCAATACTTGATAGAGTGCTTTTATTTAAACATGGTTCAATACTCGGTAATATATGTTGAATGCTTGTCTCCACTTATCTAGGTATAGTATGAACTGAATAGTATCTGTATGCCCAGGATTTGTTGGATTTTAGTGGTACAGGGGAAGATTCCCAAAAGAATTTCTTGGACTCTGGTTCCTTTTCTTTTCCTCGAGCTGCTATTGGGTTTTTCATGAATGTTGCTGCAAGTTTATTTGGCACCCGGGGATCCAAATCATTTTCAGTTGCACCTAATCACGTGCCCGAAGATGGGGCAAGATCTGGGATCCCCAATGAGGAGGAGGTATTGGAGTTTTGCAATTTGTGCACTGAGGAGCAACCATTACTAGAAAGTGACTTGACGAACTTCGGAGAGACAAACTTAGTGCAGAAAGTCAAAGAAACTCAGGAGGATAAAAATGAGAAGTTCTTATCAGGTAGCCAGTGCCCAGACAAATTTAAGCACTTTGATATGGTTAGTGGTTGCTCAGATCACCACTTTGTCGATGGTACTGGCAAGAGCTTAATGTCATGTCAGGTTAGAAGCAGGTTCAGTTATCTTCTTCTTTTTTTCCATCAACAGTCCATATCATATTAATATTTTTTGCTTCTTTCAATTTCTTTATAGGTCAATAGAGGTTGGCTGAAGAAGGTTCAGCAAGAGTGGAATATTTTGGAGAAAGATATTCCTGGTAAGGGTTCTTGTTTTAATCTGTTCTCTGCGTGCAATATTTAGCATTGCAAAATTTGACTAATTAAAAACTTCCAGGGAACATGAGGGAGGATTGGTTGTTTGATAAGTGCATTGAATTAGCAGAATCAAAAATCTTCCCTGTCACTGTTTGGATTGAGTTTGAAGTAATTAAATATTCCATTAGCCATCTTGAATTGCTGTGCACTTGGCACCATTTTAGAACTCCCCTCCCCAACAGAACCAAAACTACCAGGAAAAATGTAAAGTAAAACAAGGGCGTAGAAAAGTGTCATACGGGAATGTGTTCTACCTAATGTGATAAATTGCGTTCATCAAGCTTCCTTTAAGAGAACATCCTATTGTACTCCTCTAAAAAAATTTCTTCTTCTTCTACTTCTTTCCCAGGATTTCAGATTGGTTTTGGAGCCTTGCACATGCGCACTTCTAATTCATCATCATCATGTACCTAATAGGCTTCCAAAAGTGGCCAGAGAGCATTTTTTTGTTGTGAAGAATTGTGGTACATTAGTTTTCAAACATGAAAATCTAGGTGATTAACGACTTCCTGCTAGTTTTTCTGCCAAGTAAACAAGAAAAAGGTTAAGAGTAGACCAACCTTTTATGGAAATAAATACCACATCACTTGCACAAGACTTCTATCTAGTTTGTAAAAAATAGGAATAGTGATGCCCACACGAGTATACCACTAGCTATACCTTTCTTTGCCATTTCTAATAATAAATATATATTTGGAGCAAGGGAAAGTAGAAAAATAATGTGTAACAGAAGTTGGAAATTGTGAAAGAGTCATGGCTGATAGATGGCAAAGAAAGAGGGAAAATTGAATTTAAAAGAAAAAAAAATGAAAAGCAAAAATGAACTTGAGTTTGCTGTGGTTGGTAAATTGTAGTAAATGTCCATATAAATCATAGATCAGTAAAAAGTTCTTATGTGGTTCATTAATGATTGATTGGTTGGAACTATTAATAAACAGAGTAGTGTGGAAGTGTTGAAGAGTTTGAAATTAAAGATCCATTCAAGGCAAACATTGCAAATTGCAATGCTATCTCTCATCTTTTATAGTGGTTTTGTTGATTGATGGCCGCTGATATTTTCTCTGGATGTAGGAAAGGATAAAATAAAAAAAAAACCGTAGTGAAATGAATGTAAACAATCTAGCCGGTTATCAGCTGCCTTAGACACAGGAGTCAGTCTAATTGTCCAATCTGAAACGACCACTATAAGTGTCCTCCATTATTCAGTTTTGTTTTTCTGGGAGATGCAATGTTCAGTTACATTTATGAATTGGTATAACCTGTTAAAATTGTTAGGGGCAATTCTTCTGCAGAATCTTACAAGCATACTTTGTTACCAATTTATTATATGAGAACCTTTTTTTACAACCTGAACAGACACAATCTATGTCCGTGTCTATGAGGAACGAATGGATTTGATACGAGCAGCCATCATTGGTGCACCTGGAACTCCATATCATGATGGGCTTTTCTTCTTTGACATTTTTCTTCCTCCAGAGTATCCTTGCGAACCACCTGTAAGTAGTTTTGTATTGCTTTCTAATGCTTATTAACAAGATGCTTGATCAAGTAAATGAAGGTTTGGCAACTTTATGCACGATAACAAAAATTAGTGTTGTCCTTTGCAAACCCCTTTTTATCACATGTATGTATGTACAGATTTTTCACTTGGCCTTATTTGAAGGAGCATTCATCTTGTACAATTTTTTTTACAGTGCTTGTAATTTTTTTCTTGTATACCTACATGCACTTACCCTTACATTTATTCATGTGAGACTGTGTATTATATCAGAATAAAAGCTGATGCAGTTTGTTTGGGTATGCAGATGGTGTACTACAACTCTGGTGGGCTTCGTGTCAACCCTAATTTGTATGAGTCTGGAAAGGTCTGTCTGAGTCTACTCAATACATGGACAGGCACTGGCAGTGAAGTGTGGAATTCAGGAAGCTCCACTATTCTTCAAGTTCTCCTCTCGCTCCAAGCCCTTGTACTGAATGAAAAGCCTTATTTTAATGAGGCTGGATATGATAACCAGATGGGAAGAGCTGAGGGGGAGAAAAACTCAGAAAGCTACAACGAAAATGCGTTCCTTGTTAGCTGCAAGTCCATGTTATACCTACTGCGCAAGCCACCCAAGGTACAACAGTTCTGTCTTGAATCAAACTTACCTTTTTGCAATGTTTGGTGGTAACTTCCACAGCTTGATCTCGAACTTTATTAAAAATATTTTTTATAGAATTAGAAAGCAATTAAATATCCTGTAAAATGAATTTCTAGTCTTTGAGAAGTTTGTTTATAGTGGGTCTAGTTCTCCTTTCAATTGGAAATATGGAATCATGTCTATAAATATTGTAGCCGAATTTGCTTGACTCAATCTATGGGATACTCAGAATACAGATACTTAATAGCGTATGGTTATTGAGAAAAATGAATTATGTAGTTATAATTAATGAATATTGCTGAAGTATGGAAAGTTGAATGCTTTGAACATTAAAGTTGGTTGGTTTGCACTTGTGCAGCATTTTGAGGCACTGGTGATGGAGCACTTTCGCCATCATGGCAGATATATTCTATTGGCTTGCAAGACATATATGGAAGGAATTCCAGTAGGTTGTGCTTTTGGAGACACCAAAAAGGAGCAAGAAAATCCAAAGGGAAGCTCCACTGGTTTTAAGATCATGCTTGGCAAGCTCTTCCCCAAACTTGTAGAAGCATTTTCTGATAAGGGTATTGATTGCAGCCAATTCGCTAAACCAGAAAATGAATGTGAAGCGATGAAGCTGAGTACCCAAATGCCTGTGTGAAAAGAAAGTATCGTCATCTGTATAATATCAGCGCGTGCTTGGTGAAAGATTGGGTTTTAATGTTTTTTGTGTTATGTCTGTTCAGTGTATGCCTACCTACAAAGAAAGGAGAACTTTATAGCGTATTGATGTGTGCTATGTCGAAAGACAGTATTGTCATGTACATATACAGTCATCGTGTGCTCGTGTTTTCTGTGAGACGCTTGTCCAGTGATGGTATGCCTTCAAGTAAAAAGAAGAACAAAAACTTTACAGCATATAGCTGTGTTGTATCATGGAATGTAAGAAGTTTGGAATAAAGAACATCTATTGGGATTGTGTGTATATATTTTGTTGTCTCAATTGAATGCCTCCTGTTTTAACAGAAGTATACTGTTTTTGAGAGAGATTGCATAGGTCTACTGGCAGCTCATGGTGGTGCTACATCCATACTAAACCAATGTTACACAAACAAACTCCACTTTTTGCTAATCAACTAATTTTGTTTCTGATGAAAGTTTTAGAACATTTCCTGAAAAGGTTGTACCTCGTTTTCTCCATCGCGGAGAAGTATATTGTTGTTACAACTAGTTACATGTTGTTGGACATTTTTGCGCTAAGTCTAGTTTATTAGGGTTTTATTAAGTTTTCTTTTTTATTTTTTTTGTCCTTATTGTAACTCTTATTAATTATATATACGGGGGCTCTACACTTAGTTTGTATCCCTTTTACTTACATCTATCTCAAGTTGGTATCAGAGCCTAACCTTAACCCTAACCCTAACCCCAGCCACCCACAGCCTGCAAGAACAGACCGACAGCTTCCACCGACAAAACAACTCAGTCCACCGACTGCCAAACCAGTGCACACAGCAAGCACCGACTACCAAACCATACCCAGCAGCACCGAATGTAGCACCGAATCAGCGACAACCACCTAGCTGCCACCACCACTGCTCACCGACAGCAACCCAGCCACCGCCACAGCCAGACAAGCAAGGCAGCGACCAAGACCCAACAGCCCACTGCCCACCCACTAACCACCGACTGCAACATATACCATCAATCCACTGCCATCACTAATATACCATCACCGACATACTACCAGCCAAAACCCAACAACCGACTGACCAGCAATACTGCCACCACTGACTGCAACATGCAACATATGACCCAAAACTCCAACACCCAGCCACTACCAGCCAAGATCCCACTGCTAGCCAATATATACCCATAAAATAAACGACCCATATACCAACGACCCACTGTCGATACCCCACAAACAAAACCCAAAAGCAAACTAGCAACCCACTGCCCAACAAAACCCAGCAACACCGACTGACCCAAAAATAAACCCGCGACCCATTGTCCAATCCAGCGAACTAGCCTACTGTTGGGACGTATTCTTCGTCACAACTTCGTGTTTTGTCTTCGTACGCTTGATTATTTGGGATTGTAGGACTTTTTAAGAGGGGTTGAATCCTCCTCTCGGTTGATATGCTCTTGATTCAATAGATTATTTATTTATATTTATTGGATTTCTGGGCACCGTGAGTTGAATATTTGAGAGCTTTTTGGACCTTCTTTATCTGTCGTTACTGTTCGACTGGAGGTATATTGTTCTCCCTTATTTTATCCCTAAATTTTTCTTAGAGTTGTTGTTTCTATCACGGGTGCCCTAATATTATTGTTGATATGGCAACTACTGAGGGACTTGAGACCCCTGCTGTTGACACCTCTACCGTTGAGACATCTATTGGTACTTCCACTTTTATGTTTGACCAATATACAGCACTACCCGGCATGATCTTTCAGAAAGTTACGGCACAGTTGTTGAATGGTCATAACTTCGCTGAGTGGTCTCATTCGTTCTAGCTTTTCTTAGGCCGTGTAGGGAAGTTTGGTTGGCTGACGGGATCTTAACCAAAGTCAGCTAATGTCGACTCTGGATATTCTGTGTGGTTCTCTGAGAACTGCGCCATTCTTGGATGGTTATTTAGCTCGATGGAGCCATCTTTTTGCAGGATCCACCAGTTTCATAGCTCTGTTCCGAAGCTATGGAGCGCATTATCAGAGATGTATTCTCAGTCAAGACGGGGAGTTCGTGTTTATGAGCTTTCTTAGGAGCTCTCATATGCTCGGCAGGGAGATATGACCGTTCAGGATTATTATGGCTATTTGACCCAGCGCTGGCTTGAGTATGAAACTCTACGTTCTCTTGCTGTTATTCCAAGGATAGAGCCCGAGGGAGCAGCATTCTTTCATACTTGAGAGCGGGAGGATAGGATTCACAAGTTTCTTATGGGGCTTCGTGATGAGTTTGAGGGACCTCGTTCTCAGATTTTGTCGATGTTGACACTTCCTTCTCTTTATGAGGTGTATGGGATGATTGAGCAGCATGAGCGCCGAATCCGTATTGCATCACTTCCAGTTGCGCCTTTAACTCCTTCGGCTGACCAGATGGCCCTTACAGCTGCTGCAGGGTTTCGTTCAGGATCCTCAATCAGGGGTGGGCAGCGCTCAGATCAGCGCCGTCAGGGTGCCCCAGATCAGCGCAGTTAGGGAGATTCTCGTCAATGTGATTATTGTGGCCGACCAGGACATCTCTGGGCTACTTGCTAGAAGCTCCATCCAGAGCTTAAACCGTCTCCTCGCAACCTTACTGTTGCTATTGCTGAGGTACCACCATCCACTACTGCTACTCCTGCGGCTGTTCCTCCTTGGCAGAGTGATATGGATGCTATCACTTTCCGATTAGATATACTTATGTCTGCTCTGACTTTTCAGATTCTTACTACTACTGCTGCCACTACAGGTATACCTCGTGCCTTTCATGCTTGTATCAGTTCATCTCCCCTTTGGATGTTGGACTCGGGTGCGAATGGTCACATGACAGGTGCGGCCCATCACTTCACCACTTTTGATGAGCAGTTATATACACAGGTCCAGTTAGCAGATGGGACACATGCCCCTATTGTTAGTAGGGGTACAGTCCGCCTCCCATATGGCTTTACATTACGTTCGGTTTTTCATGCGCCAAAGTTGACCATGAATCTATTATCTGTACATCAGTTAGCCAGAGATTTTTACTGTGCGGTTGTATTCTTATCTGATTCGTGTTATTTGCAGGACCTGAGTACCAGGAGGATTANTTTCATGCGCCAAAGTTGACCATGAATCTATTATCTGTACATCAGTTAGCCAGAGATTTTTACTGTGCGGTTGTATTCTTATCTGATTCGTGTTATTTGCAGGACCAGAGTACTAAAAAGATTATTATCAGGGGACATGAGAAAGATGGACTGTATTATCTTGGCAGTCCACCTCCAGTTTCACCAATTCCTCCACCTATATCAACTGCACATGCACCTGCTTTGTCTTTATCTGTTCCTAGCTTACATGCTAGTATTTTACCTAGTAGTTGTCGTTATGATTTTTCATCACAAATTGTTCTGTTGTGGCATGACCGTTTTGGACATATAAATTTTAAATATTTATGTATGTTGTTTCCTATTTTGAGCAATGCTTGTGTTGATAGTAAACTTGACTGTATTATATATTCCCTATCGAAACATGTTAGCGTCAGTTATATTCCCCGCATGCACCAGTCACCTAAGCCATTTGATCTAATACACTCTGATATTTGGGGACTCTCTCCCGTTACTGCTCTGTCAGGTGCCCGATACTATGTGACATTTATAGATGATCATACCCGTTGTACTTGAGTCTACCTCTTGCATCGAAAGTCTGATATACTCCCTATAATCACTCAATTTTTACAGATGATTAAGACACAATTTGATGTCATTGTTTGTGCTCTTCGTTCGGATAATGCCAAAGAATATGTGTCTGATGCCTTAGTGTCCCATTTTTCTTCTCAGGGTATTCTTCAGCAACTCATTTGTCCATATACTCTTGAGCAAAATGGTGTTGCTGAAAGGAAAAATAGGAGTTTGATAGGGATGGTACGTTGTATGCTTCGAGGCATGAGAGTACCAAAATCTTATTGGTATTTTGTTGTTTTGACTTTTACCTTTCTGTGCAATCGTACGCCGAGTCATGTTTTTTAGCATAAGGCTCCCTTACAAGTCTTATTTCCTGAGCGGACACTTTTTTCGGTCCCCCCTCGTGCTTTTGGATGCACATATTTTGTTCAGGATCGATCTCCTACTCGTCATAAACTTAATGATAAAGCGATTCATTGTATCTTTGTAGGCTATTGTCATCAATCTAAGGGGTATCGGTGTTATGATCCTATTGGGCATCGTATGTATCACAGTCTAGATGTTACTTTTTTTGAGCATTCCTTATTTTTCTTCTAGTCTTGTGTCTGCTCCTTCAGTTGATGATACTCCCCTTGATTTTCCATTACCACAAGAGCCAGTCATTGGTCATTATCCCTATAGGGTTATCTGTCTCTCCTCCTCTGAAGCCACTCATCCCTGTCAGTACAGAGTCAACAGTCTCTCTTTCTTTGCAGGTGTATGTTCGTCGCCCTCGCTCTCATCACCCTGCTAATGTCCCCTCTACCTCAGGCGATGCAGGTAATACTTCTCAGTTTGTGTGAGCATATTGATGCACCTATTGTTAGTATTGATGAGTTTGTAGGTGTTAAGCCAGTTCCTTTACCTGATGAGACATTATCAGTGGNGATCAAGCTATAGTAATAATCTGGTTCAGTCTAGAGTTGAATCCACATCGAACTATGATTAGAGTTTTGAAGTAAGCAGTGAAAGAGACCAACTAACTGGAAACTTTAAGAGTTTGAAGTTATGGGATTTTCTGTACAGAATATAAGATTCTCTCCAATGGATTTTTCTAGACAAAATACAAGATAAATTATCAAAATTTAACAACCACTTTTTAGTTCGAGGATCATAACATATAATTAATCATCCGGTTTATTATACTTGTGCTTTATAACTCAATTAACTCTTATGTCAGCAGCACGTTAATCGAAAGATAAAGATAGACTGTGNGTGTCGTTATCCGCGGCGTGATCGTCGTCCAGTTGATCGTTATGGTTGAACTACCAGGATTTTATATCCGATCTCTACTTATGTTTCTTATGGTGATTTGTCTCCTACATTTCGAGCTTATAGTATGACCTTATCAGATACGTCAGTTCCTCGCTCTGTTTTGGAGGTTATATGGGANTCGATGCCTTTCTAGAAGTTTACAAGAATTATCTCAACTCGTCTACAAACAAGCAAGTGTTTCTACAAGGCATCCAACCATGACATTANGTTATATGGGAGCTCCAGTGGGTTCTTGCCATGTAAACAGAGATAGACGCTCTTCAGCATAATCA